TATATATATATATATATATATATACCGAGCGGTATACCGAAATATACCGCTCGGTATACGGTACCATACTGTACCGAGCGAATCTCGAAACTCTGGTACAATACGAAATTTCAATCCTTACTAATATTCTGACTTGCAGCCCAGCTCATGCTCCATGCCATGATGTGGCGTTTTGCCTTATTCTCATATAGTCGTTTCCAAGTTGGCTCCACTCACATGTATTATGATTCAACCAATCATTACCTAGTACTCATATCCTACTAGGTTTAATACCCATTATCATGATTCAACTAAACAAAACTATTCATCCAAAAATTTGGAAGTCTTGAAATCATGTGATCCAAAATGCTTAACATCAAGTTAATGATCGTGGACTCATCGACTCCTGTAAACCATCACAATTATTCTTTCACTTTTGATGCAAGACTAATCGAGATAAGCTTGGTGATCAAACTTACTTAGTTTACCTTCAAGAAATAATTCAGTAAAAGCTTAGACTTCATAAGAAAAAAAAGGAACCAAGAAAGTCCCCATTTTATATTTCAAAAACGGATTAGTAATATTTGAACATTATTCACATAGGTCTGAAGCATACATATTTACAAAATTACTAATAGCTGGCATACTGTAGATATCTTGCTCACACACCGTCATAAGATCTGTTGCATGGATAAGTTTTATCAAATCTCACATATTACCTTTTGTAAATCCAAATTATGGATATGGACCTCATCAAAAAATAAAATCAAGTTGTATTATATAATTACAAATAAATCAAGTTTCCCCATGTGGAGATCAGCTTAAATATCTAAATGAATGTCAAAGGGTGATCCTCTTCGTTAGAAGATAGATCATTCAACTTACGCTAGCAACCTATTCAACAAGGCATATTATGTATCCATCATTCACAAACAATATCTGATTTCATTTCACAACAGAAAAAAAATTGAAATTAGCAACCAGGCAATGTGAAATTGTTTTACTCGATCCTGTTATACAAGTCTGTGATGGTGGACCCTTTACTTCAATAGGAGTTTAGTAATCGTGCAATAATCAATATGCAAAACAAAGCGAAGAAATAAGCTGTAATATTCCCAACTTGGAAGAAAAAATAAAAGAATAAAATGGTTAATTGCATAGAAACTGCTGAATGGTGTTGTGATGTCTCCCATATAATTTTGATAGATCTGTCTGACACATTCAACCAAGATGCTTACAAATTTTCATGAGATCAGTAATAAACATTAATGTGAGTTAAAGCAAGCATCTTTACCTCCATTTACCAAATTCAACCAAACTGAAGCCTGATACTATCATGAAAAAGGAATTATATTAAGATGGAAAATGCACTAAAAGGTCTGACTGTGACACGGTCGAAAACACACAAAGGATCAAAATGTGAATAACATGGTATAGCTAAAACCCACACAGTATTTATGCATATGCAGTAACAACTGAGGCCAAACAAATCTAAAAGAGACCCCAGTAACCAGTCAATTAAATCTCTAGGGTCCAAAAGAAGAGGACAAACTAAATAAATATGCTGACCTGAAGATACAGTAAAAAATTGAAGAAAACAAAGGTAACCAATAAATTAAATCTTTGGGGTCCAAAAGAAGACGACAACCTAAATAAATATGGTGACCTGAAGATACAGTAAAAAATTGAAGAAAACAAAGAAAAAACTGATTCAAGGAAGCAAATAAAACTAGTAACAAATGGAATCCACTAACCCCATCAGATTAACCCTCAGGTTGACCTTAAGCTGCACGAAGAGATCATAGAGCTGCCCCAGATCTGCAGCATTGCCGTGTGAGTATAGCACCGTGAGCCTGGCACAGGGGTTCTTCAAATAAAATGCGACAAGCTTGGTCCCGTGCTTGGTGTCCAGCAGCAGGACATCCATAGAATGGTCCCTTGGGACGCCAGATGCCACCAGCCGCCCGCTGTCGTCTTTCTTCACGCTGTAAGTAGGTGGGTCGGGCGGGAAGAAGGTGAACTTCGCCGCCAGACTCGAAACCGAGCACCCCGAGAACATCGAGATCGATCCAACTCATTGACAGAGAGGAATTCTCATAAAAGAAGGATCTTTCTTCCTCCCCCTGTTCCCTTTAGCTGAGTTGAGAAGAAGTTACTCAGGTTTAGCTGACAAGAAGAGGTCCGGCGACTAAGTTCTTGATGAGGGGGTGGGAAGTAGAAGAAAGAAGTCTCCTTTCTCGGGGAAAAGATGGTTTTGGCCTTTAGGATTTTACCAGGGACCAGGGTTCAGGGAAAGGACAGAGAATAAGAGAGAGAGAGCTTTCAATGGAGCACAAAAGCTGTAGTTTTTGGATTGTCTATAGGTCTTTGTGGACAGAGCAAGAGAGAGCTATGTCAATGGAATGATCGAGAACTGAAGCAGGACTGCTGGAATCTATCCACCCATACACTGAAGGAGAAGCAGTTTGAAAGAGACAAGGTGAGGGTCCGAGGGAGAAAAGCCATGGTTTCCTTCTTCTTCCTCCTTATCTTGTCCTGCAAAAGGAATTAGGAGTTTAGAAAAAAAAAAAGAAGAAGAAGAAGGTGCTTGGTGAGTAAAATGAGGAGCACCTCTTTGCTTTCCTTTTTGCTTGCTAAGTCACAGTCACGAGTAAAGATGAGATATGTGGCAGGATTCCTGGGAATAACTATGGGATTCTAGGGTTCAGAAGTATTCCAACATCTCTCTCTTCTCCGTGTTTGTGTGGGAGGGGAGACGGGGGTGGATAGGAAGGTCTGCTTTACATTTATTAATCACTTATGGTCATTGCGTTGGTCGTTCAGACTCCAGAAAGGAGAAGAGTGAAGGAAGGGTGTGTGAGTAGAGAGAGAAGATGGAGATGGGCACTTGGCAGAAGTGAACGGAGGAGAGAGAAAAGGAGGAAGTGTGAGACTGCACCATCTGGACAGAGACAAGGAGGGTTTCAGTTTTTATGTGGGTGCCCACCAACACTTTCACACAACAACACCAAATAAGACTGACCTGCTGATCTTTGGCAGAAGTGTTGCTGGTGGTCCTGCTGCAATCAGGGAATGGCTGATTCATGCATGTCTACCTCCACACCAACTTTATCCAATTTCCTACTCTTCCTGTGTACATTGTTTTCACAAATTAGAAAAATCATTATACACATATTTGACGTCCACAAAAAAAAAAAAATCATTATACACATGTATCCCTATCCCTCCATCAAACTTTGTCCAATTTCATATTGTCTGTACATATACTTGTTTTCAACAGTAAAAAGTTCTATTTTCTGAAAGTAAGCAGAAATTGGATATCTATCTATCTCATAGGGGGCAAAGCAGGTATCATAATTATTCTGACCTTCTTGTTGCTAAATTAAGGAGTATGCAAGGCAAACATATCAGATGCTTTCAATTGACTCTCAAGTGATCAAGAATGATTAAAGTTGACAAATTCACTGCCACAAGATCCGGCACAAAGATTGCATTGTTAACTCTTAAACATATTGGAGCAATGATGGATCAGATCCCATCATTACACAGGTGAACAAGGATGGTCCAGGTTTTTTCCTCCAACACACCTCATGAATGAGACTACAATTCCATATTTAATGTGTACCACAGATTTCTTTCATGATTATCCTGAGAAAGTACATCAATCACCGGGTTTGGGAATGACCCATTGTGATGCCTCAAATAAGAAAAAGGAAATATCATTGTCTTTTGTTGGAGGAAAACCAAAGTAAGTGCAGGTATCAAAAGATTCTCTAGTCCAAAAATATACTGATGTGACATAAATTCTGGGACATGAGTGACCAAGTCTGTCCATCACACATGCAATTATCAATTTCATTTTCAAGATGGACATTTTGAGTTGTGTTTGTGAGAAAAAGAATGTAGAATTATCCATAAGCCAACAAAATTAAGATTTTCTATGTTAGTAGAAGTAAGACAGGATTTTCCAAGTCAGAGCAGCATTTTAAGAAGACAAGGGAATGATAAAAAGTATTGCAAAAAGTACTTCCAAGACATAAAAACATGTACTAAATTACAAAACATATTTTCTACACTGGTTTTAGGTCTTCCACAGTATTAATATAAATGTAAACAAAGAAGAAAGACAGTAGTATGTCTAAGAACTTCTATGTCAGTTATAGCATGATTATAAATGAGAACAACGAAGAAAGACAAGATTTTTGCAGGTCAGGGTAGCATTTTAAGAAGACAAAGAAAGGATAGAAGTATTGGAGAAGTACTACCAAAGCATAAAACATAAACTACATTACAAAATATGTTCCAAGTCTTCCACAGTGTCATTATAAACGAAAACAAAGAAGAGGAGCGATTTAAAAAGACAAGGGAAGGAAACAAGAGACCATGAATTGTTTCTGCAGCAAGGCAGAGTGTCGCTTCACCGAGCAATCGTGTAGATCCCACAGCACTCGGCACCTCCTTCAACCTTTCTACGGAAAACACATGCACTGCAACCCATCTCCATGTACCCAAGCTCTGTTCTCTCTGTTGCACATGCACTCTCTGAGAGGCATAAAGCCACCGCCACCTTCTCGGACAATTAAACCTTCAAAAGGTGGCGGGTTATGAATCAGAAAAGAGAAGGTGGCAGCCACTGCTGCCCTCACAGCCAAATAGGTCTTTAAATACTTCAACCAGATGGAGACAAGCAAGGTCAGTGGCTCAGTTTCACTTCTCAATGTTCAGCTAATTAATACTCTTCGGTGCAGTGACCTGCTACTTTTCTATTGCATGAAAACGTGAGATTATTCCAAGCCCTCATGCATGTGGGGCTGGACCAATGTAGGGGAGCATTGTTTTCCACTGACATAATCTCATTTATAATGATGCACACTTGGCTAAGATACTAATAACAGTCTCGTGCTCTGAGCTCTTTGTTTGGTTTTTGGGAGTTGAGATTGGGTTGTGGACAATTGCATACTTCGAAAGTCAAGCTCTTGGGTTAAAATAACTCATCCTGCATGTCTTTAATCCACTCTTGGTCTCAAGAACAAGCAGGCAGCAGATCATCTAGTTTAACTGAGAACATGAGGCATTGTAATGCTTGATGTGCAAGGGTCACATGCATCATTTTTACTGGAGTTCATGTGATGAGAGCAGAACAGAGCCTTGTGACTTGATATATTTTGTCTCATGTATATGATGGACTATCCAATCCATGTAGACTACTGCTAGTACTATACTTTATTACTCTAACATGTCAGTGCCACCAGCTTCCTTCAAGCAATAGTTTGTCTTGAGATTTTCTCAAGAAGAATTGTTGCCATGCTAACCTACGTTGGTGAAGCAAGTGCATGACTCATGATGAATGTAAATAATGGATAGCTTAAGAGTTACTGCTAATGATGTACTTCTGTAATTGTTAGTAAGAACACCAAACCCCCAAATAAGTTGAAGTTTACATTGTGTATGTAATCTACAGTGAGAAAAACTTCATGGTCATATCATGCCAAACTATGGTAAGATTATAAACCACAACAGTTGATGAATGTAAAAAACGATTAGCTTAAGAGTTACTGCTAATGATGAATGTAAATAATAGATAGCTTGAGAGTTACTGCTAATGATGTACTTCTGTAATGGTTAAGTATGAACACCAAATGTAAACAACTCCATGATCATATCATGCCAAACTAAGGTAAGATCAAACAACAACAGTGGATGTCAAAGCTTCTTTTTCCCTTATCAGAAAACTTAAGCTTAATACATCATACCCAAGTGAAACTTCAGTTTTATGTGTCCTGGACTCAGTGACAGCTTAGAAATTACATGTCTAGATCCCAGACACACTTGCTGAATCATGCATTCAAATTATGCACAAACATCAACCAACAATTTTGATATTTGATGTTAGTTGCGTAAAGGTCATGCCATTTAGGTTCTTTAATTCAAGTTGCATCTTAAGAACACCAAGTTCTGGAGATCTCACCAAGAAAGATTTCCTTGAGACATTGGAAATGATGGAACTCTTTTAAGTTAGAGAAAACTATTGTTGCAGCCATTTCCATGTACATTTTCTACTGATAGCTCCTTCAGAATATGAGATACTACAATGACAATGAGAAGATGCCAGAGATCTTTCTATAAGCATGCGAAATAACATCAACTAAAGTATCTTGCAAAGTTATTCAGATCAATAATTTGGCAATCCATTGATAAAGAGATGCTAATTTTACCTGATTCTAAACCAGCAAATTCCTTTCCTTGTTCATCATTTGTCGTTCTTTCCTCGCATTTTGTTTCCTGCATGAAATCCTTGTTCTCTCTGGCTGGAAACTACATTAATCTCACAGTATCAAAATCACGAGCAATCCTTCAGTCATCAAGGCCCAAAACTCAGATATAGCAATTACATGAAGCCTATGCAGAAAGAAAGATCAGCCGAAATACCTCTCCTCAACATGCTCGATCGCAGATTTCCCGAATCGATCCATTCCATAACCATCGATAACGGCCAATGTACATCGTCACATGCCTCTCTTCCATCGCAGTCATCCAAACACAATCCTCAAATCAATCAGATTGGCCAGTGCAGGAATTACACCGACCCCTTCGAATGAATCTAAAGTGAGGCATCCTCAAAGCCATCTTTCTGTGCAGGGTTCAAGATCTTCTCAGCAAACCCTCAAACACTTCTTGGGCGAGACCAAGTCTCTTGCACTGGAATACAACATCAGACTTGAAGCCAATTCTCAACAACTCCTCATTGCGCAGGCCTTCCCCTCGAGCTGTCGGTTCGCCACAGGCGTACCAAGCACCCTATTACACTAACATTCATGGCTTCGATGCCTACTGCTACGATCTACTAAAACAGTGTCGAGGCTCCTTATCCATCCCCGTCCTCTCCATATGCATCGATCCAACAGATCCATGAGACAACATTCTTCATCGGCATTCCCTCGAACACCAGTCCTCCACTCTCAACTGTTCACACTTCTGAGAACAGAGCAGTCGAGGAGCGGAAAAAGAGATACGAGAAACGAATCTGATATTAATAGAAGGAGAAAATTGCATATATATTTATATACATATATATATATATACATATATATATATATATGTAT